AGACAGAGGGAATGGGAGAGAAAATGAAAACCTATTTTTGGTATAGGTTTCTTGTTGTGTCCAACATGGACTAAGAGTCCCATGTTGGCAACAACCACATAAGCCTCTATTGACATGGCGGGGGTTTTTATAATTTGAAACGTAGAACCGGTTGTCAGGCTTTTGTTGGTTTTTGGACTAACCTGCAACCTAATTTTAAATGTACATCTAACTTTGAATATAATTTTCCCTTTAAATTATATATTTCATTTACATTGTATAAAATATTTTTTTACTTATCACACTTAATTTTTGTTTGTCTATGGTATCATTTGACTCAAACCACTAGCCCACCATCTACAAATAAAAATTGTTTGATTTCTAAGTTGACATTAAATTTTGTATTACATTTCCATCACCGATAAAATCATTTCTTATGTATAAAACTTATTTTTGTTCAATATAATGAATGTACAATATTAGCAATGTACCTAATATATTATTTTTTATAAATATATCATTATATATGTGCCCAAGATTTTTTCTATCTTTTTTTTTATTTTGTGATTCTTTTTATTTTCTATTATTAAAAATTTTAGTATGTGACTAATAAATATTTAAGTTTATTTTTAATCATATTGTTACTTTTGTTAATGTTCAATTTCTATCTTAACTATGTTATATCTAAAATTCAAGTAATTAATATGAAGAAAAATTCCTCTGCAACACATGTGTTTAATTACTAATTATTATAAAAGTATGAATAAGGTATTGCTATGTTGGGTTTTTGAAAATTTTCTTTACTAAAATACCCCTCCTCTTGAATTTGGTTCATCTTCATTGAGAGGGCAGAAAATGTAATTAAAACAATACTATCAAGTACATTCAGTTACCTCTCATTAATATAAATCTTATTCTCTCTCTCTCTCTCCCTCTCTCTCATTGAAATCTAACATTTATACTTTTGTTTCTCATCATTAAATTTCACTAATAAATCCATACACAATAATTATTGATATAGTAGAATTTTATATTTTTTAAATAAACCTAGAAATGAAATCATATTTTCTATCTAAGTGGTAGGTAAGTAGTTCAACTATTTAAGTTAAATGGATAATTCCATGATGTCATAAATGAAAAATACAAATTTAGAAATATAAAAAAATATAGAAAATAAAGAAAATAAAGAAATTTTGAAAAAAATTGGATACATTTATATTATTATATATTTTTCATATTGAAAAAAAATAAGTATGATAAAATAAACATAATTTTATTAATGGTGGACTTGAAATATACAACTTAACCCATGATGTAAAATTAAACTAAATTTTTAAAAATAAAATAATACAAAAATGAAACAATTTCGGACACATCTATAATATTATATATTAATTATATAAACAAAAATAAGTATGATAAACAATAATTATTTAATTAATGATATAAATGAAATGCAAAATTTAATACCAGTGTGAAAGTGAAACCATTTTCATATATAGATAGTAGATCAACGATCTAACCTTCCAAGTCAAATGTGAAAATAATAATTACTTTTATTAATGATGAAAATGAAATATAATGTAGGATTTAAAATCAACTAAAAAAGCAAAATGGTTTTTCCACCCAAGTGGTGGTTAAATGGTTTCCATGTCAAATGGATCAATACATGATATTATAATTAAATAATAAAATACATAAAGTTCTAGAAAATGTAAATTTTGTAGATAAATTTAGGCACATTATATAATATTATATATTTCATCATATAAAAAAGTGTGATAAATGAGAATTATTTTTGTTCAAGATAGAAATTGGATAAAAATTAAGAGAAAAAAATAAAGGGAATTAATGTCTGACATGTGACTCCACTAACCATGTGGGACGTATCAAACTTATCAGTTATCGGATGTATTGATATTTTGAATTTTTTATCCTTATGTTATCTAGTAATTCTCACTTCCTTAGTTCCCTTAAGTCCACATTTAATAACCTGAACAAATCATAAGTGTGGTTTTTTATTTTTAATGACAAATAAAAATAAAGAGCATTAATGTCTTACATGTGACTCCACTAACCATGTTGAATGTATCAAACTTATCCATTATCGGATGTATCGATGTTTTGAATTTTTTATCCTTATGTTGTCTAGTAATTTTCACTTCCTTAGTTCCCTTAAGTCCATATTTAATAACCTAAACAAATCATAAGTGCGGTTTTTATTTTTAATGTCAAATAAAAATAAAGAGCATTAATGTCTTACATGTGACTCCACTAACCATGTCAGATGTATCGAACTTATCCATTATTGGATGTATCGATATTTTGAATGTTTTATCCTTATGTTGTCTATTAATTCTCACTTCCTTAGTTCCCTTAAGTCCATATTTAATAACCTAAACAAGTTATAAGTGCGGTTTTTATTTTTAATGGCAAATAAAAATAAAGAGCATTAATGTCTTACATGTGACTCTACTAACCATGTTGAATGTATCAAACTTATCCATTATCGGATGTATATTTGTTTTGAATATTTGATCCTTATGTTGTCTAGTAATTCTCACTTCCTCAGTTCCCTTAAGTCCATATTTAATAACCTAAACAAATCATAAGTGCGACTTTTATTTTTAATGACAAATAAAAATAAAGAGCATTAATGCCTTACATGTGACTCCACTAATCATGTCATATGTATCACACTTATCCATTATCAGATGTATCGATATTTTGAATTTTTGATCCTTATGTTGTCTAGTAATTCTCACTTCCTTAGTTCCCTCAAGTCCATATTTAATAACCTAAAAAAATCATAAGTGCGATTTTTATTTTTAATGACAAAACTAACATTGACCAACCAAGGTTTAAAATTTTGATAAGATACGCCCAATACGGGGCATATCATATCATATCTTTGAAAAATAGATACGGGATATGCATGGAAATTGGACGTTTCGTATTTTTTCATGCATATCGGACCCGTATCGGGGGCGTATCTGGGTGTATCGGGACATATCGGTAGCGTCTCAACGAAAAAGATACAACCAAACAAAAAAAATTAAAGGGGGAAAGAAAGCTTATTTTCCGAAATAAACCTTCTTTTACCCCCAAATGACCCTAAAACTCCAAGCTTCATTCCCACAGTGCTAGATTTGCAAAAGTTTGCATGAAACAAGTGTGAATCGTTAATTTTTTAGAGATTTTTCAAATCTTGAAAAAATATGGCAAAAATAGGTAAAATTTTCAGTTTTTTTATATTATCTTGTGATTTCTTTTGTTCTTGAATGTTTAAATTTATGTTGATCTACATTTCTTACATTCAAAAACAATTTTTTGTGTTATCGGTAGATTTATGGAAATTTCATGAAGATATATATGGAAAATATAAATTAACAAAAAATTTGAAAATGCAATTTTTTTTGTTGCCTATAAAGATTAAATATGTTTTAGATCTATGAATTCATATCCACAAAGCAATTGAAATTTCTTCTTTAATATTTTTTTTGATTTTTTTTTATATTTTTAGAATTAAAAATAAATAAAAATTAATTATACTTTATCATTTGATCACAATAATTGAATATATTATAATTCTATGGATTATTTATCATATCTATAGACTAATTGAAATTTCTTCTTTAATAATTATTTTTTTTTTATTTTTATAGTTTTAGAATTAAAAAAAAATAAATAATTAATTATATTTTATCATTTGATTACAATGATTGAATATATTATAATTATATGGATGATATATCATAGCCATAAAGAAATTGAAGTTTCTTCTATAATTTTTTGAATATATTATATAATGTTTATTTATTTTTTATAATTTTTGGAAATAAATAATAAATAATAATTCTTTAAATAATAAATATTAATTATTTAAATAATAATTAATTATATTCTCACATAGAAGTTGTGTCAATGCATGTTTTATGGTTGGATAGGAGATTTGGATTTTTCCTATCCCATAAAACATTAAAACTTAAGAATTATAATTTATAAATTATAGTTAAGCATAGGATTTTAATGAAATTATAATTAACTATAATATATTTCTTCATAAAACCATTAAAATATATTAATTTAATGTGTATACACCTCATTGTGGTCTTATATTTAGTGTTGTTGATGTATTTTTATGACTTGTTAAAGTATTTATAGTATTTTTAAGAATATTTTAATTTTTCTCCGATATACATGCATATCCAAAACATATCCCGATACTGTCTCTTAAAATTGCCTTTCCAATACACTTGCGTTTCCGATACTTTAAACCTTGTGACCAACAACCATGAGGGTGTTTGGTTCCATTTACGTTTATTTAGTAAACGTTTATTGAGGGTGCCAAATAGGCAGCACTTCAGCATTTTCTCTCGGTTTTATGCATGCATCAAAAATGAAAAAAGTCAACTTTGGTTTATGTGTATACCAACCGTTTGTGAAAATTATTTTTTAAAGCTTTCACAAAGAATCAGACATTTTTCACTGTTATGTTGATGTGGAGCCTAGTGGCACCTAGTGGTTATAAACGGTTATAATTATTGCATTTCTCTGTTGTACCAACAAATAAATTACAAAAGTTTATTGAATAAACTAATTTTATTCAACAAATAAAGTACATACCATATTAACTAATTTTTATATCACTACAAGGCCCTCAATTTATTTCTCTCCCCCATTTCATTGCCTATTCCATCTCATTCATTTTACAACCAAAACCAATGTTTCCGTTCGCACACAAGAGTGTGATCATGAGTTTAATTTTTGAAATTGGGTTCAATGAATGAACTTGAATATAAGGGCATCATTGTAATTTTGCAAACTTTGTTAGTTTTCTGACTATCAGGGGCTCTCGAAGTATCAAGTATCGAAAGTTCAGGAGGGGTGTTTTTGAATTTTGATAATAGCCAAAAAATAAAAAATAAAATCAGAAAAAATAGTTCACAAAAAAGAAAAAAAACACATACACAAAAAAAAACGAATATTTTATTAGTTGGGTAATATTTCGTGAAGGAAGTGAAGCAGAAGTGGAGGGAGACGGTTGCAGGATTCAGGATTTCTTCAAGGAAACATGTTTCTACTAAACTTCTGCTCTCGAGGTGTCTCAGTAGTAGCTGCTGCTGTATCCAAGCACCACCCCCAATTACCCAATTATACTGTCAATAATAATAATACTATTAATTATTCTTGTTTTCATACACCTTTTTCTTCTCTGACCTCTCCTCTTGGACTTATTAATACTGCCACTACCACCCCAGCAGCCGCTGTGGACCATAGACGGAGATTTCCTACTCCTCTCGCCTCGTCGGCGTCGTCGTCCTCTCTCGCCACCAGCACCAGTTCCCCTGCTCCCATGGGCAACAACGCTCCCGATTCCGGCATGGACGCCGTCCAGCGGCGGCTCATGTTCGAAGACGAGTTAGTTTCTTCGTCCTTTTCTTCTTATTTTAATGGTCCAATGGTTCTTGATTAATGAGTTTGGAGAGCTTAACTAGTTTGTTTCTCTGTTCCCTATCTGTTGCTTTTTTTTATTTTTATTTTCTTGATGGTTGTGAGATGCTCTGAAGATGGTTTTGCTTTTGCTTGCTGGCATGGTTGATTGCTTCATAGGATTTTTATGTATTTGAACATGTAAGTTGAGAATATGGTTCAGTTTCTCTTGTTATTTTGCTTTTCTTTCCTTTGCCAGATTTTATTTTTGGCTAATTGGTTGCTGGATTGGTTTCAGTGGGTCACTGATGGTAGATCGGTTAGTGGGGGTTTGCTGTACTTGACAGAATGAATTTGATTTTGTTCTTTTAGTTTTTTTCCCCTAAAACTTTCAGATGGTTTTTGGGGATGTATGGATTGGTTGTTGGGTTTGTTTCAATGGGTTAGATCGGTTAGTGGGAGTTTCATACTTGACAGAATGAGTTTGATTTTGTTATTTTGTTATTTTTTTTTTTTTTTACTTTCATAGGTTTTTAGTTGCTGTTATTTGGATCTTTTCCTTTTTCATTGGTTTTTTTCTTATGGGTTTTGGTGATGATTTTGGTGGATGGAGATATCAGGGTGTGGTGTGATCAGTTAGCATGTATGCTTGCGATTTTTCCCTGTGTTCTTACATTTGCTTCTGCAATATTGTATGAGATGATATTGTGTGGTACAATATGTGTGTGTGTGTGTGTTTTGGGAAAAGGCATAAGTATAGACTTTCATAAATATAAAAAACCCTGCACAAGAAGTGGATGTAGAAAGGAAAGTTACAAAAATTCTCCCCCAATATCTACGACAACATTCACCACTGCTTGTTTACAAAAAGGGAATCATATACAAAAAATGAGCTATAAAAACTTCATTTGTAATACTTATGGACATCTAATCACGAATTCATTTTTCCTACAATTTTTTGCACAACTGAATCTGTTGAGTTATCCTTGTTCTGGAAGATCCTGCTATTCCTTCCCTGTCATATGCCCCAAAATACAGCTGTGGGCATTATGTTCCATGCATTCCTGCCTTTCTTGCTTAAACCTTCCACCCTCCACCCAAAATACAGCAATGGACATATTCTGTGGCACATGTTGAGGTGTATGGATATGTTTCTTGTATTTGCACAAATGGTTATTAGAGACCCTGAGGATGGGATCTTAGTTATATAGATTGTTCTTTTGGTTTTAATTAATCTTTTATCAATTACAACAATTGCACTTTAGTTAACTGCACAACTGCCTTTTTGAGTGCTAGCATTGGCATTATTGTAACCATTCACACCCCCTACTAGAGATGGGTGATAGGATTGTGGCTTTAAAGGGCCATTTGGATAATGAAAAATCAGCTTTCTTACATGTCAATATATTTTCTTGCATGGCAATCTAAACATTTTGATGAGATGGTCTGGTCATGATTACTCAAATTGATAATACCAAATGATGAACCAAAAATATTTTCTATATGAGAGCATTAAGTTGATCAACTTTTTGATTTGGTGTTTCAGAAGTTAAATCAACAATTCTCATTATTTAAACATTTCCGTTTGTGTTTGAAACTGTATGTTCAGTACTGCTGGCACTGTCTGGGAATAATGAGTCTTTGGTACCTACACAGGATGCCTATTACAGCATGACCTATTTGAAAAAATAAAACTACAATTGTATTGAACCATCTATTAATCTCTTTAGAAGTAAATGGCATTTATCTTCACATGTAAATTCATTGTTGTCAGAAGTTGATTTAACAAACTTAAATGATTATGGTAATATTCACTGTGTAAGAGCTCTACTTTTGACAGTGGATACGATGAGAAAATGAATAAAGCTTGAGTTGTGTATCTCATTGGACATGGTTGGTGGGGATAAGTATGTTTTTCTTCTGTGTTTATTGGCAGATCGGAAGAGCATGGATCTGCAGTTTTGTGTGTGTGTGTGTGTTTGTTTCTAGTGGTTGGTGGAAGGGGTCTTCGTGATATTTGTTGTGGTTTATGTAGTTGTATCTGGGCTTATTTTTCTTAAGGTCTTGGCTTGTTTGTAAGGTTGATTTTCTCTTTAAGGGGTTAAAATTGTTAGGGCGGGGTTGTTATTGATGGGTGATTTCTTATCACCTGTTGTATCCTCTTTTTCATTCTTCTCTTATAAAGTCTATTTTTTATTTATTTTCAAAAAAAAGTTCATTGTGTAAGAGAGTTGTTTCTAAAGGGTTGATTCAGTGAAAATAAAATAATTTTCTCTGTATTTCCCTTTTTGTTTTGCATTCTCCCATGAGCTGGTTGTGATATGGTGTCCAGGTTGGTAAATGGTGATTGCAATGCTAGTTACTCATGAAAAAGTATTTGGCTAGAGAATTAGTCAAAAAAAAAACAAAAAATTGGTATATTGTTCTATAGATTTCAAGAAACTCTTTGGGGCTAATTCTCCATTCAGAGAGGGTGGGATTTGGGNGGGGGGGGGGCTGTGACAGGAAATACATCACTTGGCGGTCAAGGATTGATGTGTAGCTTCCTTATTTGACAAAGAGGATGAGTACTTTTAAACTCCAATTCATTTGATGAGTATTGATGAATGGGATATTACTAGTTCCCAAAAATTGTGCATTTTTCTTTTCCTTTTTGTTGTTGTTGCTGGATTGGAAACCACATGGCACTCCTTGGGGAAGGATTTTCTTTTCCTTTTTTTTTCTAGGACATTTTTGACATATTACCTCTGCCCCCCAAAGGTAAAAAATTCCTCTGCAATTTTTTTCCATGAAATAATTAGATGCTATGGTTCATCCTATCTTATTCATCAGATGAAATATGAAGATGCCAATAGTCTCCATGATTACTTGGATAATTGTTATATGTAAATCAAGATTGCAATATCTGTAAATACACAATATATTAAACATAATTGTTAGGCCATAAGTACCGTATTTCATCTTCATATTTGTCAAATAAGGTGTAGTGATTGCTGATAAAAAAAGGTTTACTGATTCTGAATCAAATAGGCAATATTGTTTGCTGGGCCAGTTGAATATAATGTTGAGGGTGTCTTTCCATAAAGTTTTTTTTTTTTTGGGGGGGGGGTGTTGAAAGCTTATTGTGATATATACCTCATATTCTGTATAATCTATTCTTCAGTAAGTATCATTGGATGGTATGGGATCGCATTTATACCTTATTGTATTTGTGCAGATGCATTTTAGTGGATGAGAATGACAACGTTGTAGGCCATGACTCAAAATACAATTGTAAGTGAGAGTTTTTATTTTCCATTTTCTGTGTATTTTTGGTATGGGAATAAGTTGGATTATTTTAAATAGTTTTGTTCCTTTTGTTTCATCTCATAAGATAAGTTGTTTTCTTAACTGTGATTCTATTGTCACTAGATTATTTTTATTTCTGACAAATTTTATTGATTTAGAAAAAGAATGAATTATGTACAAACATCAAGCATCCCTTAGCTTGAGTAAGTCACTTCTGGTCTCATGGCAGTAATAATTTCTTTGTACATCATACTAGTTAAGTGGCGTGTGCAAATAAACATGTGTAGGGGTCACTAAAAGGAGAGGGGTGGGGAGATAGTGGATAAGGATAGAATGGGAAATTGCATAAATAACATAGGTATTATGGGCCTGTAAAAGTTTGAATATTGACAAAAGTTGGGATTTTTGTAGCTGGAGATGGGGACAGAACAAGAAATTGCAAAAGTAGCAGGGGTAGTGTCAGCATGTTAAATTTTGAAAATCAACTAAAGTTGAAACTCTCTCCCCCCTCCAATTCCCCAAAATAAGTTTTATTTTATATACCCCTTGTTTTGCCGATGCATCCACTAGTCCATTGACTGATCTGTGAACCCAGTTTGTGTTGATAATGCTATCCTTTTTCAACTTCTTGATCTCCTTCATGATGTTTTTATACTGCCATTTAGTGACTCCTCATTATGAAACTATCCCACTCACCACTTTTTGGTCTCCCTAAATTACCGGGTTTGGGTAGTTTAAAGATTCTGCCAATAGTTCAGCCCTTGTAGAATTTCAATGGCCTATTGGTTCAAAAAACAATGCAATGATATGTCCATTGTAGTTCCTATGGGCCCCTCCTATTTGCAATAGGCCTGGATTTCCCCTGCTACATCCATCAAAGTTTAGTTTGATTGTATTCAGTTCTGGTGGTGACCTGATATAACAGAAACTCTAGTAGTAGAGGAGCTTGCCACCCATTGCCATCTTTGAACAATGTCCTTCGTAGAGAATGAATTGAAAAGCCTCACTATTTTGATCTAACCAGTTACTTTTTCACTGTCATGCTTTTGATAATGGTTTCTCTAGCTTAGACCTTGTCATTGAACAAGAGCTCATTTCCTAACTTCCCAATAGTCCACAACACCATTTTGTTGCATCTCCAATAAAATTTTCCCTAACTTGGTTGGTTAAGCAAGGTTGTATGGGAAATATTCGCTTACTCCAGTGGAAGAGTCCTTTTGCACCCAAAAAGAGCAAAAAATAAATCCCAAATACCAATAAAAAAGGACAAGAGGTTAAGAAATGGTAAGTAGTTTATCCACTTGCATTACAAAGGGGACAGACATGTGGAGATTGGCACCAATTTGGTCATTTCCTCTGAAGGGTCTCATAAATGTTAATTTTTAAATGGTAAACTTCCCACTCAAAAGGACTGATTAAAATTAAATGAAAGGCAGACTGACCTAGTACCTATCTCCAATAGCTGGCAAGATTTGATTCTCGGTGATGAAGATCTGACAATCATATGGTTTTTATATACAGGCCACTGCATCATATATAAATTGACTAATCCTCGTATCTAAATCACCTCTATAATATACACATCCCTCTATACAAATCTTCTCCAACTAAACACTGGCATCTGAGAAACATGTACAGGATGTTCCTAGTACACCATATAACTCAAAGTCTATACAGTGTAAGACAGATGTATGTAACTGCAAAACCATATATCCAATATGATACATATATGCTTGTATGTGTAAACTGTGTTATTAATCATAAAGCTGGGAGCTTATGAAATATATTGATCATATTGATAGCTTATAAAGTCTAGTGCTCTGAGTTGATATCATTAAAATGGGTTAGGTGGAGTTTTAAGACAGGATAATTTTTATGAATAATATTAAAATTGTCCACCAGCAGCTGCTGCTACATTATTTGTCATGACCTTCTCTGCATTGCAATGAATTCTTGGACCAGATTCAAAAAATACATTTAAGTTGATGGTTGAGTTCTCTAGAATATATTTCCAAATTCACCAGTCATACTGATCTACATCCTAATTCCTTAAAAGTTCTTCCAACTTCATATTTCATTATTTTGTAAGGCTCAGTTTGGAAGGAGTACAAATACATACAAAATATAAGGTTTTGCACTCTACATATTTGCATTTGTACTCCTTCCAAACTGAGCCTAAGTTATTTTTACTTCTTCCTTTTTCCTGGATGCCTTGCTACTTACCAGCTCTCATATCCATATGGATACCTTTGATGCTCTTTTTGAGAGATGATTTTCCTGAGCCCTTGATTTCCATCTGCTCTGTTATTATGCAGGTCACTTGATGGAAAAAATAGAATCTGAGAATTTGCTCCACAGAGCATTTAGTGTTTTTCTATTTAACTCAAAATATGAGTTGCTCCTTCAGGTATGCCATAAACTTCAAATCCACAAAGCCTTATCCCAAATATATGGGCTTGTGGCTAGCTATGCAGTAATTTCTGTTACTTGAAAGTAGATCTATACTGGATGACTTCTGTTACCTGTCATCTGTATGAACTGAAGATTCAATGTGATAGACAGTTCTATTCATCTTAGTATTTTGATTACAGTTAGATTGCTGATTCTATACAGTTAGATCGCTGCGGTTTAATGTTTCAGTATTGAATGGTAGCAAGAATTTCTCTAACTTTTGACTTCTTTCTTTTTTTTTTTATTCTATTCATGAACCTTGGTTTACAAGAAAACTAAACATCTCTTGTTACTTTAAGTAATCTTTTCTGTAGATATCTTTTTAAAAGCAATTGGGCCTATACTCTCCCAGGTATTGGGCCAATAAACCTTTCTCCTCTTAAATTAAGGTCAAATTAATTTGGAATATAGTGCTTATATGTTCAGTTCTTGTCAGCAGATGGAGGATCGATGTTTGGTTGTCATGTTGAGTAGGTTGTCTGTCTTTTGAGTTGAAGGGTTCAGGTTCAAATCTGTTGTATTTTATGGTTATGTGTTTTTCTTGGTTGGGTAATCTTATTCTTTAATTTGGCCTAGGGAGGTTTGTTGGATGGGGTGTTTCTTTTGGTTATAATGTTTGAGGGCTTGGAGTTTGGATTGTGGTAGAGAGAAAGTGTTGTTATCTTTATTCTCTCGGGTGACTTCTGGTCACCTTTATTGTAATCTCTGTTTTCCTTTAATATATTATATAACATATACATATACATACATATATATATATAATTATTATACAGCTGAACCCGGCCTAGTGTGTGTATATATATTCTATAATTTTAAATAATTACATATGTAATATTATAATATATAATAATTATATACACATGCAAAGTATCGATACGTATCAGTATCGGTGTACCCAAATACACCTGGATACACTGATACAGAAACTTTTTAAAATATTTAAAAAGTCTCAGATCTCTTTCCCAACCCCCTAATTATTATAAAATAAAAAAACAAAAAAAGGGTATCGGCATATTAATATGCACCGATACCCATGTTTGGGTATTGAGCGTATCGATATTTTAATCCTTGTATATATATATATATATATATATATATATATATATATATATATAATTATCCTGACCCATGAACCTCTCCCTTTTCTGGGTCAATGCCCAGTCTGGTTTTCTGAGCATTGAATTTAACATTTCACTAAGTTATCTGCATATTTATTTATTCTTTTAATTGATCTTTCGTCTCTTCACATTCGGACCTGATTTCTTTGCACTGCAATTTCATTTGCACTGGTGCTGAAGTATGAAGGTGCAAATTTTGATTTATCTTTGTGCCATCTTTTATATTATTTTGTTTATTTGCAGCATAGATGAGGTTGTTGGTTCGGCTGTCTTAATTTGTATGTTATCCTTGTTGGGTCTTAAGTCATTAGTTATTGGGCCTAATCTTATTTAGTGTTTATTTGAYTAGGTGTCCCTCCACTAATCAGGGGCATTCTGGTCTATTTATGTAACATTATGTAATATTGTTATATATAATAGATTAGGGCTGGCTGAGAACTGATTCTGCCACCCATCTCATATCTTCTTCTTCTTCTTCTTCTCTCATTCGACAGCTCTATTTCAGCAAACATGATATCAGAGCACTAATCTTTTGACTGGTTATAGCAGCCGCCTTTTTTCTTCTACTCGCAGTTAACTCTCTCTCTTCTTTTTCTTGGTTGCTGCAAAGAAACCCTAGGGTTGGTCGCAGAACACAGTTGGACCTACATCTAGGGTTTCCCTTGGTTGTAGGGCCCAAGGGGAGATAGACCTAGAGGCTGATGCCCTAATAGAYGCAGTACAGCAGATTGTAGCCATTCGACTAAGATAGATCTGTGTAAAACAGATCTAGGAGAAAKGACRAATCTCAGCAGTCCTAGAACTGTTCGTGGGTGAGAGTATAACCTGAGATAGCAGTGCTTAGCACACAGTAGAAGCTAACACAGCAAGTTGCAGGCTGCGGCA